TTAATTTTTATTATTATTAAATAAAATATTATTTGATATTAAGAATTAAAATTATAATATTTATAATATTTACTATTAAACTGTATATTTAATTTACAAAGAGTTGTATTTCACTAATTTCATTGCTTCTATCTTATTTCCATTTTATTCTAATTAAAATTCAAATAAAATCACATAAACAGAAACAAAATGCAGATATTTTTAAATATGTTTAAATTTTCACTTTCACCATAATTTGTTTATTTTTTTGAAAAAAATTCAACATACAAATTTTCTACGAAAATAATTACAGATTTTTTATTATTGCCAAGAAACAATTTGCAATTTGTGCATATTTTACGTACAATCTTATCCGGCAAATAATTGACGTGGATCAAACTGGCTATGTGATTCTGAAATGCCCTATTCCTATTAGAGAAGGTTTGGAATTGGAATAGCAGATCGATTAATCGCTGGATTCTGTAGTTTCAGAAAGCGTGTTTTCCGCGGCTGTTGGGGTCGGGGTAGGTGGCTACACTTGGGGTGCTCCGACGCCACCTCCTGGATCACCGTACAGTCCTGTCCCTGTAACGCAGCTCGAGCTGCTGGCCAAGAATTTGGCTAGTTTGGCTCCTCCGGGTCAACAGGCGCTCAGTCTTCAAGGTGTTGGTGTGAACGTAGGAAGTTTGCATCATGCCCAACACACCCAACACACGCAGCACACCCAGCACACTCTTAATCTGACCGGTCTTCATCATCTTCATCATGGTGAGTGTTTTGTCCAATTAGGAAATAAGAATATTTTTTTTTTATTGGAATTGGACTAAAAAAAATAGAATAATTTTAAAAAAATTGTACAAATAAGATAATTATATTATTTTATATATATGATATATTATTTTAAAAAACTATAGGATTAAAATTAAAATTTGTAATAAAGATTTCGTATTGAAAATTTGGCAATTTAAAATTAACATTTTTATATATTTTTTTTTTATTTTTATATATTTATTTCATATTATACATTTATTTCATATTATTTGAATAAAATACGTTTTTAATATTTTTCTGTTAAAATCTTCAGATTCAAAACTTTATTTTTATTAATAATTTAACACTTTTGCTTGTAATTGCATTTGTCTGGTTTTCGCATAGAAACTTCAATTTTAATACGGCTTTAAAATTAATCTCCGAAGTTCGATTTTACTAGAAATATTTCCGGATTAATAGAACAACTTCTCATTATTAACTTTCTATTAATTTATAATAAAAGTATATAATATGATAATGAAAATATTTTAAATTACTTTAAATTATTATAAATAAGAATGACAGCACATAAGCTATTATTATTTTAAGAAATATGCAACACTTTTTTTCATTTTTTCTTTTTTATTTTAAATTTTCTATAAAAGTAAATTTCTATGGAAGTAAATATTTATTGTTAATTATATATATAAAATATATTTCATTATATATATATAGTTTTAAACTCATATATATGAGTTCTTTTCTTTCTTTTTCATTTTCAAGTTACTAAAATTTTCAGGTGACAATTCATGACATCCTGAATTTTAAAAAAGAAAAACATTTTAAAATTTTAATGAAGAATATTTTAATGAAAAAAATTTAAATATTTAAAAGTTAAAAACTTTTGACTGGAGTCTCAGGCCAAACAAATACTTCTTTCGTTTTCTATGATATAAAAAATATGAAATGAAATATGAAATGATCTTCAGATGATTTTGAAAACGAACAATATAATTTTTTTGTATGAAATTATTAGAATAACATTCGAATCTATTGTTATTATGTATTCAAAATGATAACTTCATTAATAAAGATACATTTTCTGATATAAATAGTAATTCTTACTCTTTCTTTCTTTCTTTAAATATATTTTTTCATCTACTACAAAATGCGAAAAAATATATATATATTTTTTTTTTTCATAAAAAAATAATAATGACTCTGAAAAAATTAGAAAAAATAATTTAACAAAAAAATTTTTTTTTTGATTATAAAACTATTATAATTTGTGTTTATATCACAAATTTTTTTTATATCAATGGACGAATAAAAACGAAAAATATATTTAAGAAGCTTGTTTCGTCTGAAATATATTGTCTATATATCTGTTTTCTATAATTATTAATTTGAAATAAAATTTAATTAAAAAAATCCAATCGATAACTCAAAGATATCAAACGTTCATTTTTTTTAATATTATATTATTATCAAATTTAAATTTGATAATTTAAAATTGTTTGATTTTGAACATTATAAATTTTTATAACTGCTTTGAAAATATCGAAGATGCTTTAATATATATAAAATTTAAATTTTAAATAAATTTTAACTAGCTATTAGCAATATAATATTACTTTTAAAAGATATCATTCTATAAGTAGCAGATTGAAATCATGAGAAGCAAATGAAAAAACTCTATTCGATTCATTTATTTTATGATTATCGAGATAGCAAAATTATGAAATTTTTCTTGTTTAATTTTATTGATTAATTTGAATAAATAATGTAACGAAAAATTACGCATTCAAGTTCGAAAAGAATTTAATCGACACTCGATTGTTGACTAATTCCACATAAATGCTAGAATAATTTTCGATCAGCGGAAGTTGACAAAGTTATTCAACGTTTTATCAGGTGTTTTAAGGCTGTATTTATACTGACATATTAACGTAAATTCAAATTTTAAATATCTTACATTCTCAGATATGAAAAAGGATTTAAGAAATTTTAAGGATTTAGAATTTATATATGCTCCTTTGATTCTTAATTATATTTGCTTTCGGAAATCTTTTGAATTCGATGTAATTTATTATTAATTTAAATAATTATATTTATGAAAATACAGGATGTCTCTTAATTGATACAATCAGACAAAAAATGATTTTATATGTAATGAATCGCAAAAGTACTCATATATTAATTTAAAAAGAAATTTATTTATCTTAAAAAATCTTTTAAGATTATTTCTTATATCAATAACAATTAAAATGAATATATATATTTTTATGAATATATATATATATTAACTAATTAGGATTAATCTATTCCATAATTAATAAATATAATTTCATAATTCTTATTTTAAAAAAATTATAATGAATAATTTTTGTGATAATTTAAAATTATTTGAGCATTTTAAATATCTTTAATTTTTTGTAATAACAAAAAAAATTATAATTTCTGTCTTTTCTATAATCTGTATTTTAATATAATTTTCTATAATTTTTATATTTTAATAATTTAAATATCACAAGTATATACTTATGAATTGTCCAAATTTAATTAAATGATCCGAATGGTAATTCAACAATTCATAAAATCTATAGCGATAAGTGTCCGAAAAAGCATGTTAAGCTAAAAAGATTTGATTTTTTAACCATCCAATCTCTGAATTCAATATATAGTTTATTATTATAACCGAAAATCATCACTCTATTGATATCATAATGTTTCACGCTAATAGGAGGCTTGCATCAGAATACCTTCTCTCCTCAACTGTCCTTGGTAACCGGGAATGCGCCCACGCTAACGATCAACAGCTTCTCATCACCGAATTCGACAGGCAACGTGGTACCGACGACAGGAGTATTGCTTCAGGAATATCAGTCGCCGACAGGTTCGACTACCGGATGTTCGGTCACTGTGAATGGCACCTCGTGCCCTACGAGCTCGACTACGAGCACAATGGTAGTACAAGGAGGCCAAACTGGCAACCAGATCGTCCAGGCCACCAGCAAGAAACGGGAGGCCTTCCTACCGAGTCAAGGTCAGCCAGTGAAACTGGAGAACAAATCAACCAGACAGCCCTGTATTTGCAGAAACAGCAACGGTACGTTGTACACTTAGCCAATATTTTCTTCTTTTCTTTATTTTTCTTTTCTTTTGATTATTTATTAAACTCTAGCTGTAAGCAATTTTTTTCAATTCCTCATATAAAAATGTGAGCTAATTTTTTTGTTTCATTCATTGTAAATAAATACAATGATATAAAAGAAAGAACAAAAAAGAAAAAACAAAAAAGAAAGAACAAAGAAGAAAAGACAAGAACTTGAATAATTTGAATAATAATACAGTAATGAGAAAAAGAAAAAACAATTAAATTGGAATTTGATTCTAAGACTTGTCAGCAATCTGAGTTTTTATGATCACATCTAAAATGGTCTTGATTATTATTTTTATTATTTTATTGCTATGTGCCGCCTACAAAATAAACTTTATTTGATATTAAAATTTTCAATATCCTAAAAATAGAAATCATATATATATATATATATAAATGCAAATCAATAAAATAAGATAAAAAAAGGTGAATGCAATGAGATTATTCTATTGTCACTTTATTATTATCTTGATTTATCTAACACTTAACTTAAATTGCAACTCTTATCGCTGAATATGTACTTAATAAATATATCGATATTTTTATATACCAATTTTTTATTTGTTTTAGCTTCTAAAATAATCATATATAAATATATTAATATATTAATATATTAATATATAATAATTATATTATTTATTAATTATTATATATTAATTAATAAATTAATATATAATATATAATAATAATAATTAATATATTAATATTTTTTATATTTTAGAATATTTCGATTCAGATGAAATGGATATATTTATATATACTTACATGATCATGAATTAAGATGATAAACTTTCTTTTTATTTGCAATATTTCTTTCAAATCTCTAAGTTTTTCTCAACTTTTCTAAAATGAAATTTTTTAACAAGGAACACAATAGACTGTGGATAATTTAAATAAAACGAACGTATATAATTCTATTTATAACAAGATCTTATCTTTTCAGTTTTATAAAAATTGTAATAATTCTGAAAATTTTAATTTTATTTTAAAACTTAAAAATATCGGATAGTTAAAATCTAATCCATGAGATAAATAAATTAAGAATTATCTTATAATTCAGCAAAAAGAATGATTTTATAATTTGTTTTAAAGAGAAATTTTGAAGTTAATCATTTCTGGCTTTCAATTCCAGATTTAACATTAAAACTTATTCGAATTCTATAGAACTTCGTATGCATCAAAATATTCGTATGACTTCAGACTTTGAACTTGGTTATTAGCATATAATAAGTAATTCCTATTGCTAAATATATATATTATATAGTGAAACAAAAGTTCAATTTTCAATTATATTTTAACATTTAAGCTAGATTTTAAGCTAGATTTATGATAGGACATCAAGTAGTTCGAAATGATTTTTTATGAGTTGTGAGAAATTCGAAAGTAGATTGATAAAAAAATCAGTGGAATAGGATCTGTTTCAAACTTTAGTCATTTTTCGTTTCTTTATTAGAATTGATGTCAGATAGTTGTTAGTTACGAAAGCCGAAATCATTGATTTTTAGATTAGCTTACCGCCAATCAAAGGATGCTTTGGAAATTGTGAAATATCGATTTTCGTTGATACAATAATTCTTGGACAACGAATATCCAATACAGTTCATGATTTACATGAGTTTGATTCAGTTTTCATTTAGCGATGTCTGAGATGATAGAAAGATAGATAAAACAAATTGAATTTGAATTGATAGAAAAATGCGTGTAAAAAATAAAATTTTAAAATAAGCATAAGATTATATGTATCATGTTTCAGAAGAAATTTTACAAATATATTTGCTTATTTTTAATTAAAAATTATATATACTATGTTTTGATCCATTTATTTTTTATTTATTTCAAAAAATAGATTTTATGTATACATAATTGGAATAAAATTATAACTTTTTTTTTCATATGTTTCTTATTTTATTTTTTTTATTCGTATAAATTAAAGAAGATTATTAAAAATGAAATAATTCTTATTTCATAAATATAAATTTATTCGAAAAATCAATATCCAAAAATTAAGTTTTTTTGATCTTAAATTTTTGTCATTAATAAAAAGTCGCTAATAATCTATAATATTGATGAAACATTAAAAGAAAAAATTATTAAAAATTATTAAAAGAAAAAATTATTAAAAATTATTAAAAGAAAAAATAAATAATATGAATGATATTAGAAATGAAATTATTATAATGACAACGAATATAAAACTTCGAAGAAAGAAAGAAAAGTCATTATTTTAAAAACTCCATATTTTACATTTATACTATATATATAATCTACATACTATATAGTCTATATACTAGTCTATACTAATAAAAAAAAATAAAAAATTTCAAAAAAATAAAAAACTACTTTACTTTATTCCAATTATGTATATGAAAATTTTATTTTTTTAAATAAATTAAAATAGTACATAATATAATACATAATACATAATATTTTTAATTTAACTTTTTTTTTAAAATAATAAATCAATATTACCTTGATACAATTTTTAACATTTTCTTTAAATTAAATTTTTTTTATAAAATATTAAAATATTAAACATTAAAATTATAAAATTAATTTTTTACTTGTATTTTTAATATGTCAGAAATTTAAAATATTCTAAAATATTTCTAAAAAAAAACATTTATTTTTTTAAAACAATATTTTTTTAAATATAATATTTTTTTAAATCTTCAATAACTTAATCTGTATAAATACTATTCATATTTTATATTAAAAGTCTTTAAATTTTTCCGAATATAAAATTTCCAGAAATATCGATAAACTTTTGATTTATTCTCAATATATTTCACTTCGGAGTACCTAACATATTCAGAAACGCAGCAGAATCTGATTTTAGGCCATTGTCCAATTAATTCTAGAGGATTGACTACACTGTAATTCTATCGAAATGGTTCTAGCCACAGTCAAAGATTAACATAAATCATGACACGCTATTCGTTGCCAAATTTAAGGCTAGATTTGTCATGCAATTCGCGTATCTTGGCCAAATAAATGCATTAGGGAGTTACACATATCTAGAGGACAAGAAAATATGTACATCTTTTTTTCTTTAAATATGATTTCAAAAATAAATTTTCTATTATAAAAGACATTATATACAGAATTATTTTCATTGATGAAAAAAAAGATTTTAATATACATTTATACAATGTAATTATATTTTAACATGTTTTATTTGAGAAAAATCAATATAATAATATTACCAATTATAATAATATTAATAATGAAATTAATATCTTACATTGAAATTAAAATTAATTTGAAATTAAATTTTCAAATAAATTTATAAATTAAAAATTAAAAAATTTATAAATTAAAAAATTTTATTAAATTTTTACTAGAATAAAAATATTAATTAATAATTAATAATTAATAAAAACTTTCTAATGATAATTATTAAAAAAAATAATATTTTTATTAATTAAAAAAAAATAAAACAGTAAACATTATTTTATATTTTCCGTTAATTTTAATTTCAAATCTGGAAAAATATATGTGCTATAAATTATTATAATATTAAATTTATATTTCTATTAGTTTTGAATATTATTTTTCTCAAAATGAGAAAATTATTACTTATTGTATATATACAAAATGTAACATATTTAGAATTGATTCTAGAAACAAAAATAAAATCAAAAAAAAATTACTAGAAAAATATTTATTGAAGTTTATTTATTAAATTAAATTTATTAAATAAGCAATTTAAATTTCTATATAACATAAAATGGATATAAAGCGAGATTGCAATGTAACAAAGATAAAGATGTTTCATTTTATGTGGATCTTGCTTGCTTCGTCTAATGCAAATTTAATCGCTTATAATTTAATAAATATGTCTCAAATAACATTTTTTTTTATTAATTTTTGTATTTATTTTAGAATCAATTCTTTTAGAATCAATTCTCCAAAGATATTCTTTGAATATATTAATATTTTATATATTCGGTCACTCAAAAATTTGTGATTACATAAGAAAACTATTACGCGAATTTAAATTAAATGAATTAAATTATGTATTGAAGAATACTAAGATAAAGATTATTTTTTTCAGTTTTTAGACTAATATTTAAAAATATATGAACATTTTTTTTTAAAAATTAAAGTTAATATTCAACATGTCTATCTACAAAAAATTATTAATATTATATGATATATTTCTTTATACAATTTATATTTATAAAACATTTTTTTCATAACATTTTTTCTAAAAATAATTCATTATATTTAAAATAGATACCTTGTATATTTTATATCATATATATCTTTTTATTTTTGTTAACAAATAGCATTTTTATATCATCTAAATATGATCTTTTTTGGTATTATTTTTTTTTCTTTCGATCGTATAAAAGATATAATCCAATAATCCAATATATTTGTTATTGCGGAATTCCTCAGCATTCCAGATTATTGGAATTCTATTTTTTAATACATCAATCGATGCAATTGCATTCTATAAAAAATCTATTAAATCATTTATAACAAAGTATTATTAATTTAAGAAATATTGCAATTTTAATTTTTTTTAGAACATAAAAGAAAAATAAAATATAGATAAGGTCTTTTTTATGTTTTAATTTAAATTAAGTTTAAAAAATTAATAAAATTAAATTAAAATATTTTTTGAATTAGTGGTTTTGTGCCATAAGTACTTTTAATAATTCTTTTTTTTAGAAAATTATCATGAATTTTTTTTACTTAAATTTTAAAAAAAAAAATTTAATTTTTATATTTTATCAAATTCACTCTTTAAAAAACTATATTAAATTATATATGTTTCAAAACAGAGCAATTTAATTATCTATTTAAAATATTTTTCGAATGATCAAGAATTCGGAAAATAGTAATTGTATTTATAGATTAAAATAATCTAATTAATATAATATAATATATAATATATAATATATATATAAATTAATATAATAATTATCTACAATTTATGAAAATCTAATGCTAAAACGTTTATTAAGCATATTGTCTACTAATGTTTACTAATGTTTACTAATATTACAATATAAGAAA